TGTGGTTGTTGCTGCGTATTGTGGTGTAATTTATGTACGCCTGGTGGTTGCGACAACGCAAATAAACACTGGGGCAGAGTGGCAGATGCTATATAAGATAAATCTTGAGGCTTTAAGTTGGGCAAGTTAAGAAAATCGAATTTCGCAAAGGATCCAAGGTTTCGTGGGCAAGCGAGCAAGTGTGCTCCAGTCGAACGGATATTCCCCGGGGGAATGCGTGTTATCCAAAAAGTTCGATATTCTTCATTTGTGCATCTATACAAGCGCCAACCTATCTCCAATAATTCTCGAGCTTTTCTTAAAAAGCTAGACTCAAAGGCGATATTTATGGAAAGTAAGGAAAGGGCAGAACATATTGAAATACGATATATTAAGCTCGTTCGGTGCATGACAGACGAGCGTCGTCTATTTAAAATTTATTGGCTCTAGCTAAGCAAAACATTTACAACCATCGGAAAGCTAATGTTCAAACTTAAGAACTGCGAACATTATAAGATCATCGAGTAAATTTTGTCACTTCAGTACACATTCATCTCACAGTTAACATTGATATCTGCCAGCTTATTTGTTTGATAGATTGTGCTCACTAAATGAATATTTTGCTATGGCTCTGAACTGCTTTAAACGATTGTAAATTTTATATAAAGCCAACTTGACGGCCTGTGATCAGTTCAAACAGTCTAGTGTTGACTTTAAAAATGCATTTAAAAATTGTAAAAAAGTAGTCAGCTTAGCAACTGATTCATAAAAATACATTAAATACGCGTCGAACGAGATATTGCCAGGTAAAATCCATAGATAAGCGACTTAGTTATGGACTTTCATGATTCCATGGGGCTTTCTTTTTATTCGAACTGTTGGCAGTAGACCAAATAATCGTCGAAGACAAACACACAGTACAACACACATACACATACACGTACACACACACACACGCATACACACAGTCATTCACACACACAAACGCACACCGCATAGCTTTGTTGGGGTCATTTCGATTTAATTTCTGGCACAGCCGCGACTTATCGGTCATGGCTTGGTGGACGGTGTGTGGGCGTGGGCGGCGGTGGGCAGCGGGCGGTGGGCGGTTCGATGCTCATTTAAAGCGCCATTCAAAGGACATTACATTTTATTTTAGCAGCGCGCACGCTGTCGAATTAACTTGCGGCCTCATTTATTGCATTCCGAAAATGATTTCGTATAATTTTGCCGTTAACGCATAAAATTTTAATGCGCTGTCGCAACTTTGGCCAGTGGCAAATGGCAACTGGCAACTGGCAAGTGGCAAGTAGCAAGTGGCAGAGTGGCGAGTGGCAAGTGGCTTTCAGGCCAGAGGCCACTGCTGTCGTTCCATTTCTAGTTATAGTAACAGTTTTTGTATTAGCTGTATAATTAGCTTGACAAATCTACATTTTTAATGGCACTCGAGGCCACCAAAGTTGAGGCTCTTTGGCCACGTTTGCAAGAGATGTGAGCATCTGTGGCCTGCCATTGGTATCGAAAATGAATTATAATACATGCGCACAGACAAACAGACCAACAGACAGACAGATAGACAGGCAGAGAGACGCTCAAAATATGGTATAGGTAATCAAATTTATTGCCATTATTACATATGCTGCATGATAATGCAGTGAGCTTGCCACTTGCCACTTCCCACTTGCCACTTGCCACACTGCCATTGCCAGTGTCAAGAGGGGCCAAGTAGCCGCAAAGTGTGTGGCATGCATAATTTATGGCAAACAGCCGCCAGCCGGCAGCTGTGGGGCCACTGCCTTGGACATTTAACCGGCCTGGCAGCCGCCCACTCTTAGGCCAAACAAATGCACAGCAGATGCGTCAATTTTTGACATGCAGTCGTAAGTAGTTAAGTGCCTGGATAACTAAGTCCAGCTCTTGACTGTGGGCGTGGCAACTAATTGGGCAATTAATTGCAATTAGGCATTACATTGTTGTTGCTGCTATTTGCAGGCGACCGAAGCCCTGCAAATTCATACACTTTTCATGCATTCGAGCGAGTCGTGGCCACCGCCTGGCAGCAGCTTGCCAGGCAATTTCGCGTGCAGCCGTTAATGGCTGGCGCTTTAGTGGCAAACGCGGGCTTCGCTTATGGCCCAGTCCAAATGACAACAAGGCCGCACGTAATCCGTTAATGGCGTTCATTAATAAAGCCAGGACAATCGCTGATGTATTCCACGCGTAACAGCTAAACAACGGCAACGGGCTACGATTCCGCTTTGCGAACTTGTTCTTGAGGAAGGCCCAAGGCGTTTTAGTTTTGGGCCTCAAGGCGGCGGACAATCCAATCACATATGTACGAGCCAAATCTACGTTAAAACGTGACCTACGTGATGTGATTTGCACAGTTTATTGTCCCAGTTAACAAATTGTGTATGCTATGTACGTGTGTGTGTGTGTGTGTGTGTGAGTGCGTGCCATCAAGGTCAATTACATTCTTGAAAGCAAATAACTAACCTTGCATATTGTTGATTATTCATGCAATATCTTAAGCTGATTATATTATATCTTATTTAATTATCCGGCATTTCTGGGCCAGGGTTCATTTCGTTTAGGCTTAAAACAGTTTTCTTCTTCGTTGCAATATACAAATTTAGTTGTACTGCCTTGAACAAACAATTGGCAATAAATGAAAGGAAAAACGTAATTATAAATTTACTTTTAAACCATGAATATAATTCAATTAACATAAAAGCCATTCAAAAACATTCCCTCAATGGTCGAATTCTGGAATAATCTTATATTTTTTGCTTCGGAAGGGAGTTACTTATTAAGCATAGATATTATAAATATAATGCCTAATACTCGTATATTGATAAAGTCAACACAAAGCTTAAACAGCTTGGAAACTACTGAAGTTCGAAATTCTTTGCCCTGGGCGCATATAAGTTAACAACCATTAAAAGTCTGTCAATATTTACAGAGCAGACAAATTTATGTAAATTTTCAACCACACACACACACACACACATACACGCTTGCACTTGCAAACTATTGGCCTATGATTGTTGTTGCCTGAAAAACAAGGTGTGGGACAAACAGTTACGAGGTGTAGTTCCTGTTGGTATTGGTAAGTGCGCGCAGTTGTGAAGTAGTTCGATCCCGGACCGGGCTGGCTCTGCCCGGCCAGGCCTCGGGGAGCTGTTGTAGCCGGAGCTCAGGCTCCACGTGCTTACGAATGATGCAAAGTTTTTGGCACATCAATAAACTAAACTTGAATTGAGTCGATGGGGCGCCGACAGCTGGAAATGTGCCTTAAGCATGCCATGAATTATTTAGTTTCTGTTTACCTTCCACTCCATTCCATTTTATTCCATTTCTGTTCCGTTCCGATGCTGATGCAGTACCAACTTTGGCCAATCGCGAGCACGTGCCGCCACTGGCCACCTTCCTGATTGTCCTTTAATATGCACCGCAAGGCTCCGCCGCAGTTTGCTCCGTTTGCATTCCGGATCTTATGTAATTGTCCTAATTGACCTAATGCTGTACTTTTTGCACCAAATTGACAGTCAAGGCAATCGAATTCGAAATTCATGTAAAGCTTTCCGAAATGACTATAACAAGGCTTTAAAATAATTATTTTTATATTCAGATCACTAGAAGATATAAAAGTTTAAAGAAGGTCAAAATTCAAATATCCGGGAGAGATTATACAAAAATTGTGACATTTACTTGTAAGGCAATTTATACTCAGGATAATGAATAAAAGCCTCAAAATATATATTAAAATGATAGGTATACTGTATAAAATAAACAGCATATAAACTGGGTATCTCAAGCTCCTTGTTTTGCATGTAGAAAACCAATATCAAACCTTTTTAAACCTTTTAAGGAGCATTTTATTTATGCATTCTTTTTTTCTGTCGGTAGTTGTGAGTGAGATATATTTACACTTTGAGAAATTGCGAAATTTGAAAAATTAAATCATATTATTTATTTACAATCTTTCAAAAATGGATTAGTTTTCTGATTTTGTAAAAGATTTAAAAAGTTGGCATACTTAAAAAACTATTTATTGTGCAATCGATAGTATTTAGTTGCTTTATTGGAGCAATATTTGAATCCGGCAACTATGTTAAGGAAAATCTGTAAAAAATTTAAATATAAGCCTAAGTATTAAAGAGCCGACGCGTCTTGACAACCACACACACATCTGACGCCATATTCTCGCAGGACTAATTTTGTCGCAGACTTTAAACCATATTCACAAACGGAAATGGAATAAAAAAGTTAAGCTGCTTGGCTTGAGTTCAAGGTTCAATCTATGAATATTTTTCAATATCAGGTAGCCAACAATTACGGATGGGAAAAGCCGTTGCACAAAAAAATAATAATGAAAAAAAAAGCAGAAAAATAATAAAATAAGAAAAGGAACAAGGAAAAATCCCTTGCCATGGCATGGAATTGTAACTGTCCTTTATAAGCTGAAGAAGCAACAATGGCTGGGGTTGGGTGGAGTGGGGGGTGTGGCAGAAGCTGCGGCCGACGCAGAATCTGCAGCCAGGTGCTGCTTCTGTGGCTGTGGCTCTGGCTTAAGCTGCTGGGGCTAAAACTGTTGCCAACGTCAAACCAAACCAAAGCCACTTATTGGTTGAACAAATTTAATTGGCAGCAGCAACAGGATGACGCAAGACCATGGGGCGATTCTCGTAATTGGTGGGGGCCAGAACAGCGGCGGGGAATGTGGCAGCAACAGTGACAGCAACAATGACAACGATACGTTAATGCAGGTTAAACTGCCGCCACGGATGGCTGACTCTGAGCCGAGGCAAAGTCATTGCCGCACAGAGACACAGACACCACAATAACAGGCCCCAGTTTCATAAAATTGAATTGAGTTGTGGGCTCAAGCCGGATCTCCGATTTCTTATTGCTTTCACATTACATTTTTGAATGCTGACTTTCAACAGCATTTTACATAACTCAAGTTCTTAATAAATGTTTCTAATAGCATCTTTTTTTCTGTCTTCCTTTCCTCACAGCGTGCTCAGCTGGACCGCATGAGAAGCGTTTGCTGCACGCTCTGTTGGACAACTACAACAGCTTGGAGCGGCCCGTGGTCAATGAATCCGATCCATTGCAATTGAGTTTCGGTCTAACACTAATGCAAATCATCGATGTGGTGAGTTCATAAATGCTAAGCTTCTACATTGACTATTGAGAAATTTTTTTTAATCAAAAGCCCCGAATTATACTATTCGAGCAAGCCCGAGTATTTAAATCTCAGCCGAAAGACAAGAATAACATTCAGCTAGATTAACCAATATAAGACAAATATGCTTATCAAACCTGAACCAATCAAATAAATCGATCCAACTGACTAGTTCTACGCGTCTTTTATGTAGCTAATTTGTTGCTTAGAAAGCCCATATCATTGAGCTAACTTTGGGAAAATGTTATTAATCTGTCTGCTGATACCATTCTGCGAAACCTTTTGTATGGGTGTTATTTTCTTGTTATGCCCTGAATTAAAATTAGCTACGAGATGTAAGTTCTAAGTAGTACACAGTTATGCAACGGGAAAAACCTGCAACTTAAGCCCCATAAAAATTATCATGATGAATTTAGTTGATGGAATACCTTTACGGTCTTCTGTTTGTAGGAACGTGTGGATTTTGCAGATAAGCAAATTATATTCAAAGATTAATTGTGTTTAGTTTTTTTTTTTATACCATACCTGTATAGGGTATCTCCATTATATTGCAGCAAAACAATTTAGAAATGCAAGTGGCCCCAATAAGCAGAGTTTATTTTTTTTCTATTTCTAATAATGTCATAATATATTTTTAAAATGTTTGAACGTTGTTTTCTCTCTCTCTCTCTCTCTCTCTCGCTCAAAAATAAATCGCCCTTCTATGCAAATCTCAATACTATTTAATGATACTTTAATTATTGAATTTTGAAATCAACTGATAGTTTACGAATTCAAGAGTATTTTGTAGTCGAGCGCTCTAGAAATCAACACTTTTACTTCTTTTGCAATGGTATGAGTAACCGGAACTTGAACATGTTTTGCTGCGTATGGATTTTGGCTTGGGACCATTTAAAGCTAAAAGCTGAGCTCAGCTGACGTTCAGCAAACATTTGGCAAATGATGGCACGACACCAATTTCTGGACTGACTTAGTGCCCCAGTCCAATTTTCTGTGTATGTGTGTGTGTTTATGTGTGTGTGTAGGCATGTGTACTTGAGTGTTTGCGTGCGTATTTATGTGATTTTTGCAGCCACTGCTGATGGCTGCTGCCGATGAACGACATTATGCGCTAGAGATGCCAAGTTCCAAATTCCGAAACCAAAAGCTCCAGCGACGCGTGCAAGACAACAGAAAATTATGCCATGAGTGCACATTATGGCCATTAGCCAGAAGTGCCATGCTGCTGCCTCTGTCGAAGATTATGTGGTAGCATCAGCAGAAGCGTGCATGTGAGCGCTGGAGGCGTCGCAAGTGCCGACAATTGCCAACTCAAAATTCTACAATTTACTTACCATGCTTGAGTTAAGAGTTAAGCCATAAAGTATTGCCACTTGGCAGGCGATGATTTGTTTTAGAGCCTGTGAATGAGCTTCAAATCGTTACACATCATAGATTGCCAGGATAATAAAACGGATAAGGTGAATGGAATGCCTCGCAGGCAACTGCAAGATAATTGCGTATGGGTGATTTCTTTCGCAATTCTTTTGCAACTTTTTAAATTCTCATTTAACCTAGGTTAATTACGAGATTTCTTTTCGCTAGATTTTCAATGGACTCAACAGGGCAACTTTTAATTGAGAACCAGCAGACAATGCTAACATTTAAGTAACTTTCAGCATGCTGAAATCTCTAAAAAAAAAAGCCTTTCTAAGCATGTGAGAGAGTGAGGGAAATAATTATGGACAGGTTTTAGTTCAACTAGAATTCGCTTAGCCAACACTTAAATCAAATTAATTCATATATAACGGTAAAAATTCCAAGCCAACAAAACTCATCATCAACATCATCGTGTTGGCAAACTTTTCGAGGTCGTTGGCCTGTGCCCGAGTCTGTGGTCTGCTGGCTGGCATACACATATTCGGGCATGTATGCGTGTATGTGTGTGTGTTGTACCTGAATGCTTGTGGAATGTTGCAAGTTTGTATAACTGCACCAGCAGAATGCAAATAGTGACAGAATGGCCGTAATTGGATGAAACGGAAATGAGGTAAAAGGAAGCGGACAGGCAGACGTTGACGCTGCCCGCTGTTCTGTGCTCGGCACCTGATAAAGTGAGCTTCGAAGTGCGCTAATTAAAAGTGCCGTTACCCGCAAACAGCTGCTCACGCCCATTCAGAGCGCCCGCCCACCACAATTTGCAAACGGTTTTTGATTGCAAGGCTAGCGGTGAGTGGGGAGTGGAAAAGCGAAGATGCTGCTACTTGTGATTTGAGCAAATCGCGCGCAGCTTCAACTAGACAAAAGTACACAAAAGCAGAGAAACTGGATATGGGACAAAGCTCAGATAGCTGAACAAAGCCATATTGCTGGTAACTGAGTAACGAGTGACGAGTAACGAGTAACTAGCCAGAAGTGAAGGTCTAGTAAAAAGCAGCTAATGAACAGCAAACTACGAGAAACGAGTAACTATCACTTGGTAACAAGACGAATGAGAAGCGAGTAACAAATAGCAAACAGCGTCGAATATCAAGTAACGAGTTGAGAATAACGTGTAGCGAGAAAGGAGTAGCGAGTGACGAATATCGAGTAAATCCAGAAGGGAAAGTCAAGTAAAAACTAGCCAATGCGCAGTAACAATTAACTAGTAACTAGCAACAAGCAAGTATTACCGATTATCGAGTTACGAGTAGCGAGTATCGAGTATCGATTAGCGTGTAGCTAGTAAAAAGTAGGGAGTAGCGTACAACAAGTTACAAGTAACGAGTAGCAAGCAGCGAGTGGCGAGTTACAAGTAACGAGTAGCAAGCAGCGAGTAGCGAGTAATGAGCAGTGAGTTACGAGTATAAGGATTAAGTCAACTTGAACTTAAAGCCCGACAAAATCCGGCAAAACCAAAGCAGAACGGATAGATTTGTGGCATCAATCACAATTCTCATCTCAGTTACACTTAATTAATTGATAACATTGAGATGAATTTAGGCATTCAATGTATGCTTTAAATTAGTTATAAAATTAATAATAATAGAAATGAATTAGTCAAATGTTATATGTTTGTCGAATCAAGTCGAAATGCATTACATTTAGAAATTAATTTGACAGGGCTCCTTTGGATATAGATAAATGCCCCAGCTCGATGGGTTTCTCTGATAATTTTATGTGAGAGTATGTGCCTTCTTTCTTGAATTATTTTCAAGAACTTGAAATTACAAATAAAAATAAAGAAGTTGGGCTTTCTTGCGCTCTAATGACGGTCAACTTTTGGTAACCTGCTGGCTGCCGCCTGCCTGCCGTACAGTGCGGCGATTACAACTTAACTGAAGATATCATTGTGTTTGGTGTTGGCTGCTAATTAAGTTGCAAGCCTTAGCCGAATCCCAGAGCCAGTTAATAACATTTCGCGGGTTGGCTCTGGCTGTTGCAGTGAACGAACGTCGCGTCGCGTCGCTTCGCATCGCATAGTCGAGGCACTTGACAGTAATAGTAATGTGCGATGTCTAGGGACAGTGACCGGGGTTTGGGATTAGAATTGGGATTGGGAGGCACGCTGGTCACTGGCAGTTCACTTTGCTTTGACTTGGCTAATAAAAGCATCGCATTGTTTGACAATTTGCCATTGCAGACTTTTGGGACTTCTTTAGCCCATCCCCACGCCTAGCTCTCACTCATGCTCGCTCTTTCTCTCCTCCCTTTGACTGTGCCTCTCGTAGTGTTTCCCTGTGTGCAGTGCACTAGTAAATTACAAACATAAATCACTTGATAAGTGACGCCTGCGCTGCCCCCAGGCTGCCAGGCTGTCTGTGCCGGGTTGAAGCATGGGTTAGGGGCAGGTTCATGGGTAACGCGAGATGCGGGAGCTTATCAGCTAAACAGCAATCAGGTCAGCAAAAGCAACAGCCAAGTACTCATCCTAGTTGCTATATGTGGGCGTCTGCCTTGTGTTTGCGTATGTGTGTGTGTTTCTGCAGTTGCACATCTTTTTGTTAAGTTCACTCGAACATAAATTTCTTTAGAATTGTCAATGGCAGCAGCTGCAGCGCCTTAAGCCCCCAGACCAAAACCCCTCCAGGTCTCTAGTGTGTGTTGCTCCCTCTCTCTTGCCCACTCTTGCTCTCTCTTGCTCCCTCTCAGTCTCTCTCTATAGCGCCTTGCCTGTATGTGTGCGTACGTGTGTCTAAAGCTTTTGCTACATACTTGCCTTTTTAGTACACACCCACATGCACACATACATACCCACGCACACACTCATACTGTCATTTCTGCAGCACTTTTGTTGCACTTTGCACTTGGCATTTAATGGATATAGCATTGTACAGAAGAAAAAAAGTAACTGGCGCTTGCGGTGTGCAGGAGTGAAGGCGGGCAGGGAACACGCTGCGTATGAGTGATTTTTATAGCTTGAAAGTATGCATCAACAATATTTGTCACACTTGAGATGACTTTAGCGGCGTGGGCGTGGGCGTGGCAACCGCTGATTGTTTAATGACATCATTCGGCGCAAATTATTTACGCTGCCGCAGTTCCGGAGTTCAAGGTCAGCGTTACGCAAAACATTTGAAATATGCCTTCACCCTTTGTTTTGTCAATTTCAAATTGCTTTGTGTTTCCTTCAGCAATCACTCAAAGAGTGCGTCAAAGAAATATTTCGTTTTATTTATCAGCAAGTTGACGCTCTTTAAGGTTGTTACTCGTCACTCGTTACTTCACACCTTTCACTTCTCACATAGTCGCCTATGCGATTCTGTGCCTGCCTGTCTGTTTGGGTGCCCGGCTGACTGGGTTTATATCCTGCGTCATAACCACAGTCATGTCTGCAGCAGGAAATCGTATGCTCTCCTTTCAGTCTGTCTGTATTTTAAAGTAATTTTTATGATGTTTTGTGTGGACGTGCCTTTTACGCAATTTGTCTACATTTATGCGCAACCCCGACAAGCTCAACCCCCCGCTGTTGCTGTCCTTTACTGAAGCTCCAACACCTGCTCGCTTGCCGG